AAAATTTCCTGGAAGACAAAAATAAGCAGAAAAAAGTCACTAACCATGCTCGTAAGTAGCTGCACGTTGAATATCCAGTAGATACTGATCCTTTACAATGTTTCAGACCATTCACATAATTCGCTCAATCTTCACCTCTCTACAATACACTGAAATACGAGCAAAATTAAATGCTTTATGGTAACAGTAATCCTCCAGCAGTTTGCCAGTCTGTAGAACGAACATGGTGTACACCAAATTACTTCCTTATATTTTTTTCACAGCACGGTAAAAATTGCAATCTCTTTCATAAGTCACATGACACTTTTGTTCAAGACTTTAAGAAAACTGTAACAGAACAATTTACTTGCAGCATAAATTTTTTTCGAAAATGATGAGTTTAACACAAAGAATCATATTTTCATAAACCATACGCAGCACTTCCCACGCCCACAACAACCTTAAATTCCGATCTAGATTAGTTGAAAAACACTTGATCATTACGGTTTAACTCGCCATGCAAAAAACTTGTTACAACACTATGTTGAACGAATTAGAATACCAAAGTCAGCAAACCGGGGTTAGTTCTGAAAAACCATTACGTAACAGACTACGACTTTCGGCAAGACTACACCGAAAACCAGAGTAAAGTGATCCTCTGAGTTACCTGCATGAACCTGCAGTGTAAATGTTTAAAATAATACGGCAAAAATGAAAGGCTTCCAGGTAAATAACAGTTATCAGAATCACTATGTGAGCTATACCATGAATTCGAAAAAAAACCTCAGGCTTTCTATCCACCAGAATGAACTTCACTATAATGAATTCTGCTCTACCACTAATTGTCCGCACAACTTTTTTATTGCTTACTATAAGCCATAAATTTCTACGACATATCTCATTCAGAACAGAGCTGATAATGGTGACAAATTTTAATAAACTGAGAGGCTTCAGTGACGTAGAAGTGTGAGAAAGCCTAAGTTTCCAAATTTATCCTAAGAAATAACATACCAAAAACACTTTCTATGTCTCTTATTTCTAACAATCCCTTTTGGATAGCGATATGAAAAAAATAAAGCTGTTTTAAGCACTTCAACAGAAATTCCTTCGGCAGTCTTGTAGTCAGTGACTAAGCATACTAGTCCCACTTGCTACCAATTGTGTCTAAAGTTTTTTCTCCAAAACATCTCAGAACTTTTTCCCATATCTTTTCTAAGGCAAAAAGATAAGCTTTTTTTTTTTCCGAAGAACGACAAAGAAATATCTGTCTCAGCTCTCCCAGAGTATTATCGAGAAGCATCGACTATAAAAATTCCGAACCACCAAAGTTCCAAAAGGCAATTGCTGACAACCTTATTTCGGCTACCGAACAAAATGTGCCAAAAAATAGCTCTTTTGTCGGTCGCGTATAAGTCCAGTAAACTTTCCACTTGAGAGTTTTGTTTTGTGTTCCTTCTTGTAGGTTTTTAAAAACATTTCTAATTGAACGCTTCAGATAAATAGAAATTTTCGGGAAAAAGATTGAAAAAAAGTTTTCGAGTTTTAACCAGAGACATATTATTCCCGTATTACCCAGCCAAAAAAATCGTCCAAAAAATTATTAAACAATAATCCTGGTCTTGAAACTCCTTTGATACCAACTTAAATCGTTCTACATAAAAAGACCCGAATGCTAAATATGTTCCACATGGTAGCAAGTTAATCTGGTATTAAAGTTCGCGTGATGCACAGCTGTGCCAACAGTAACCGAAAGAAGAGAACACGAGTTCTTCTAAAAAAGTATCAAATTAAACAGGATTAGAACATCATTAGAAAAAAACTACAAAAAAAA